ACTTGATCATCTCTTTCCCCACTGGGTGACTGCTGCCCTTGTAAGAGCCTGGGAAGTGTGGACATGCCCTGAGGAAGAGCAGCTTACTGAGGCTTGATTTACTACAAAGTGTGAACTAGAACTGGTAATGACTAAGGGTAGAGCAGCATATAAAATTGGGCTCACTTCCCATCTGTAGTTCAATGCTCCGGGGCAGAAAATGATGGCACCATCAGTGCAGAATGCTGAATCGTGAAAAGATAGGGTGATTCCCAAAGTGGAAAGGCTTGTGAGGCTGAACACGTCTGAACATACAGCCCATGTAGACAGTCTCCAGCATACAAGAAAGCTTGGTCATATTGCTAGTCTGGGATTATATCCCTCAAGTGGGATTTTGCATAGTGGAAAGGGAGTGCCAAAATGAAGTTCTGCTTTCTCTGGAGCTTCTAGAAGGAGACAGAAAAGGAGATTGATAAGAGCAAATCAATCCTCACTTTTTGACAAGAAGGGTGTCTTTCACAGCCATTTCTGCACCTTTCTCCGCCTTTCTGACCCAACAATGGGACTCCAAAGACAGGAGCGACTTAGGTGAAAGATGGAGCTTTCCAGATGTCCAAGCACTCTCACATACAGAAAATCACATAGATTAAGTACTAGCAGATGAATCTGCTATAACTTTACAAGGCCAAATACTGTGGGGGTTTTTTCTTCCTTGACTTCCTATCATGACAATAATTTGTTTTATTCTGACCTCTGTTTTGCTAGGTTGAATTTTCAGGAATTTATAAATATTAGCCACAAAGTGTATAGCATTCTCCATGTGAAATTGATGGCATAAGATGTTCAGAATTTCTGTGAGCAAGCAGTTGAAATGAAGCAGCCAGGGGCTGGGCTGCAAGAAATTCTGCCCTCTGGAAAACAGCACTATGCTGGGAAACTGCCAGTGTTTGCCTCAAAGTTGTATCTATAACCTATCTATAGATTGTTTTGGGCTTGTTATTTTGTTTTTGGTTCTGTATAGTTTGGTACATGTCTGACTGTTAGTGTAGTCGTGCTTGAAAAGGTTGCAAAAAGCGTTGGCTGAATGATAATCTGTACATTTCTGTAAGAAATGGTCTCCAGCTTTACTTTTTCAGCAAATAAAGACAGTGTATAGTAGTTCAAGATAAATGTGTTTGAGAAACATATATATAACTTCCTTTGCCAGTTCATATTCATTCTGACTTCACACATTACTTTTTCATTTGTAAGCACAGCAAAAAATTGCTTTTGGTCTGTTGGAGCTTCTTTGTTTTTATATAATTCCTTTTCTGCAGCTGCTCTCCTCCAGTAGCTTGGAGAGCCTGAGATACCAGAAGATTTGTGGAAAATATCCTGAGATCTTGTTGTTGTCTAATAATGTCTATTGTCAATTTAGAATATCTTTCAGTAATACATATTTTATGTTTGGCTGAGCTTTTTTATCCTTCTTCATGTAAAGGTTGTTATAATTTATATCTGCCAGTGCTCATCCACTGCAGGCTTAATGCAAAGCTGATTGTAACCCTACTGCATCTTACAATGAATAGATCATTGATACCCAACTAAGTGGAAATAATTTTCTATGGCAAAGCAGAAGAATTTAAAGTCATATCACACTAACCCCTGGTAATTTACTGGGATTTACAGATTAAAATGGTTATTTGTGAAACGACTGTGGTGTAACATAGATTTAAGATAGAGGAGGAGAATCAAAGATGTCTTGTATGATTGTATACACTTGTCTATTTTTACATGTGTGCATAAGCATTTTGTTTGTGTATACATAGCATATGCAGTATAACATACTGTAACCCATGTGTGTAAAAATACATATAATATTTATGTAACACTCACACCCGTTTGACAGCTTTGAGACTGCAGATGGATTTTTTTGAAGTTGTGATTTTTTTTTTCAGATTTGATTTCGCTTGTTACTTTCTCATAAGGAAACAAATTATACTTTTAATTCATATCATGCTAATTAAGTTAGTCTGAAGCTCTGTCAGTTGATTCAACCAGAAAAGCATTGGTTGTATTTAAGATCACATAATTTATGTCAACAATGTAATTTTACTGTACAGGCAAGTAAACACACGGTGATGTTTTGTCCTGGAACAAATGGTAGACTTCCCTTGCTTTTTTGGTGTAAATCTCATAGCAAATAATTTGCAATTTATTAGGAAAGCAATGACAATGTGTATAATTAGCTATTCTCTTTTGTTACCTCTATTTGATTATTTTCCTGCTATCACATGCAATATGAAACCATCTATTATGAGGTATAGAATATGTAAATATCTAACTTTACAAGAGAAACTGGAGATTGGTCCTTTTTCTAAAGAGGTGGAAAATAAAAGAATAATTGTTAACCATGTCCTTTCATTTTCTTGAAAACATCAATTACATTTACAAATCACAGAAACACAAGCCCACCAGTGGAACGAAATAACTCTTTTCAATATGCTTAAAAAAAAATCTAATCACATCTAATAGCTGAAATTTATTTACAACTGTAATTTGAAACATTAATTATGATAATGTGCTGACTTCTTTTGTAACACAGTTCTCAAAAGCCTGGCAGTTCTTTTTGGTCTTAATGTAACATATGTTTTGTGACTTGGAGAATTTCTCTACCTTTCTTTCTTGTTTTTGTTTTTTACATATACCCAGAAGGGAAATTTCTTTTTCTCTTCTGTTTGTTAACTATTTCCCTCACCTTTTCCATTATTTCCCTCCCCCTTTCACTGAATGTTAATGTAAGAGATGGATTTTAGTGCTTATACTGACTCTTAATGTGATTGACAACTGACTGTAATGCTTTGTATTTTGGACACAGCAAACAGTAGCAGTGAGGATTTACTAGACTGTGATACCAGTGTGCTCCAAAGGTGTCAGAGCAGGAAAGATGCTGCTCATATCTTTGTCTTGTCTTGAGACTGAGGCTTTGGAAGGTGCTTTCTTGATCTATACATACATTTGGCTTTATTAAATCAGTTATGAAATTATTTTTGAAAGGGCTTGGTTGTTGCTATCCTATTTTATTTAGTTACAAATGAAGATAGTCTCTGTGAGGACATACTTTAATGATTTGGCTTTCAGTTGTGAAAAATAAGTTGTCAAACTACCTGGCTTGACTTTGAAAGCCTTTAAAGAAAATGACAAAAAGGCTCTATTTTTCTTTTTGTTTTGTTTTGTTTTTTAAGTTGTGTTTTTCTGTGTGACAGGGAGATTAGCCAAAAAAATGGAATTTTTATTAGGACATGAAAAGGTCTCTAATGACCCTTGAAAGCGGACAAAAGGGTAGCACAATAAGTGACAGAACTCTAACGAGGGTGGAGGGCATTCCAGGAAAAAAAGAAATTAAATCCTTTAATTTTTTTCGGCTTGCCATTTTCTGACAGCTTATCAAGTGGTTGGGACTTGTTTGTTTTGGCATGCAGTTCATTCATTGTGGGCAGCCGGTACTTTGTTCTTCTTTGTGGTTTCCAAAACCTTATTGTGTTTATCCTAGACTGTGGGAAAAGTGTATATTCCTGTTTCCTTTATAAAAGTAAACGTCAGGTTTTGTATGAAATTTTATTTCCCATATTTTCCATTCCATTAATCATTATTGTTGAAATATGTCAGGCTTTGGCACATCACCCTTTGTTTTCATATGATTGTACAGATTGCAATGTCAGTGTGTGACCTGTTAAGTCAAAAAATAAGCGTGTTTGGGCTGTAGTAATTATTGCTTCATAAAGTGTAGCTGAGGAGCATGCACCATTAGTGAAAAGGGACCAGGATTTAATTTATTGCTATTAAAATTGTTTTGGGGGTCATCTAGCTATTGTTGTATAGCACTTTCTCATTTGGTCTAGAGAAGACAAGACTAAGGGGAGCTGTGATAATTGCTCTGCACATACCTGTAGGTAGCTGTAAAAAGGAAGGGAATAATCTACGTTTCCTGTCTGTGATGAAAATGAGAATTAACATGCTGCAGTTGAAGTAAGGGTTATTTTAGTGAAATACGTAAGGAAAAACTTCCTAACACTAAAGATGCAGAACACAGAGATAAATTGCTTAGGGAAACTGTGAAATCTCTGCAATGGAAAGAGTTTAAGAATGGGTTAGACACACATCATTTGGGAGTAGCACTGGTGTGTTGTGATTCTGCTGGGGGTCCTAGGCTAGATCTCTCAAGATTATTTACAGCCTTGTTCTGAGGATTTGTTGACTTTGAAACACTGATGATCTCTGTGCAGCTCCTTGTTTACAGTTATACTCATCTTCCCAGATCTGTACTTCAGTACACTTTTAAGTACACCTGGCATTGTGTAAGGTTAGGGCTGTGTTTAAAGAGTCAGAAGAAAAGGTGAGAAAAACTTTTCACATTGAAGGAGGATACTAGCCACAGGAAGAAAGAATTCTTTATCCATTTTGCATATTTAAATTCTGGTTAATACTGTGTGAAATCAGTAACATATTTTCTTTTCCATTGTCTTGTGGCTTACTGACAATGTAATATTTGAAGACTTTAATAACTTCAATCAGCTCCTGAACCACAGTAGGTGACCAGACATTTCATAAGGTCATTTTTTTTTTCTATTTTCAGAGTAGCATCATTGGAGGTTTGCATTTTAAAAAGAGATTAAAATGTCTCTCATTAGGAGAGAATGAAGATAATGCTAAATGTGAGTAACAGGAATACAGAATCACAGACATTTAGAGATGACTGAAGCCTCATTATTCATGACATTCGAGCCCAAGGTTGTTCTGTGTTGTACTTTGTCCTATTTGTTTTCATTGTTCTTCAGAAATAAATTTGATAGAGTTAACTGAAATCAAAATCTGAGATGATTTAGGCTTCTAGTACTTCTGTTGAAGGAAATTATTTTATCTGTTCTATGTATAGATTTGTTTATTCTATGAGTTTTGGTTACTTTACAGTGATGACACAAAGCAAATGGAATGGTTACAACTTCTGGAGATATTTTAATCAATTCTTATCTGTTTTTCAGCGCATTTCTCGGGGTGCCTCTGGAGAGACCAGCATTCAGTTTCTAGGCACAGTGGTAAGCATGTATAACTACTGTCAAGAGTTATGTTGGTAGAAGAATATAATGTAAACAGAAAGCAGGTAAAGTACACTGGTAGCACATTTATGCTTTGTTATGGTCAGTGTTGTGTGTAAATACTCTGAGCTTCACAGGTGGCTGTAGGCAGATTTCTGAAGCTGACTTCCACAGTACCGTGCATGGTATCTGTGCTCCACTTTGCCATTGATTCAAGTCTGCATCTGTTTAATTTAGAAGGGATTTTACAGTAACTGGCTGTAGACTTGCAAGCTTATTGCAATATACTGAGGTTTGATCCACATCAGGATCAATCCCACTCTTCCCTACCACCTCAACTTCCTAATGTCTGTTGCTTCACCATATCACATACCCTCCTATCTCAGAGGTGGGGCAGGAACTGTCTTATGAAAAGGCTATTTAGTAGTGCAAAGCATTCTGTCCTTTTCTGACTCTAAGCAGATGTGATAGCTCTGTAGAACTCCCAGATTTTGTTTGCTGGAGAGAAGTATGCTTAAAATGCCAATCAGATTTTATACCATTAGGACAGAATTTACTCAATAAAATTATTTTCTGGAGCAGTCATGTATATATAGAAACTAAAGTTTTGTGTTAGGCTGTGGATGCTTATAAACATAGATACGATTGAAACAGCTTCCAGTGTCATGATTTGCATGGTTAAAATGCAGGCATTGAATTTTTCCAAGTTCCATATGCATCTAAAACTAGTTCTGAAAATGAAATAAAATTGAAGTATCCTCTAAAGTAAGTTGTCCTGCCTGCTGCCAGCAGATTCGTGGTGATGTTAACAGTGAAAAGCCTAGGAATGAAATGTTCCCTTTAGAATTTAGTCCTAACATCTTTGTGCACTATGTGTTTTGGACAAAAGTAGATTAGGATTACATTTGATTGTGCTTTCATTCTACTTACTTGTGGTTAGTTCTTTTGCAAGTCCTATGAAGCCATTGGTTGTAAGGTATAACAGGGTAAGGGTAAACTTAACAAGAATATGTGTAGATTTGCATGGTGATTTTTAGAGGTGAAAATTGCACCTAATATTTTTTTGCTTCTATAAATATCTCTCTATATATGCATATACATTTATTTGTCTTAGACAATGTCAAGCAGAGCAGCAGTTACATAAAGACTTAAAAATTTTGTGCTGCACTGTTGTAGATACAATGATATATCAGCTCTGGAGTTGTATCCTGCATATGTGAGATTGCTGCTAGGTGGCTGATTGGATAGTCTTTGTGTGAGAAGAAAACAATTACTCTAGGTAGATAAGATATAAACACAAATGCAGCTTGATAATACTGAAAAGATTTCTAATTGATTCATCCGTAAGTGGGTGCTGTAGCCAGGAAAATTCTGATTAAGTGTGTATTTAGTGGCATTAAAAATTAAATTTGTTATTACATTAGATGTGAAAATATTCTGTACTCATTAGTTAGAAGTGCCACCAAGTCTCACTTACAGACTAGAGCTCATGTGCTGGGCCTTCTGCAGCAGAAAAAGATGATAAAAGAGGGAATAGAATTGATGTGCTTTTAGCTTTTTAAAAGAAAGATGATGAAACAGATAATGGATGGTAATCTATGTTAGATCTTGCTGACTGGCTCGTGTGTTTATTGAATCCTAGTTATTTGGGGAAATCAAGTATGTGATTACAACTAAAATTCTCAGGAGAACTAAACAGAAAAGCCTTAAGTACTCTATCTGCAATTTTTTATTTAATATAATTTATGCACGTCTTCCTGACCAAACCCAGAGAGAGAACTTCAGCGAGCTGGGTAGAGAAGCAGTAATGAAGTTTGCTTCCCAGGGTTTGCTCTAATACCAGTTTTCCCATAGAATCCAAGGCAGTCTGCATGTCTACTCCTATGAGTTGCTTTAGCCTACTGTCCTCCTCCTTTTCCCTAAGTCCTGCAATTTAATTTGTCCTTTACTCATTTAGCATCCTTGTACTCTTCTGATTTAAATGTAACACGCTTAGCTTAGGTAATGGAGGGAAGGATACAATGATATCACTTACAAATTGCTACATGTATAGATACACAGTCTCTATGTGTGTGCCTGTGTGTATGTGTACACATGCACAAATGGTAAATGTTCAAAGAAAATACCATCTTCATGAAGGCCCTAGAAATACGTTTTGGATTCACCATTACATATCTTTTACTGAACACTTGCTGAGTGCAGTCAACATAGTAAGTGTTTGAAAGGAGTGAATATATTTAGCAGCAAAAGACTCTTGATTGCTCATTGTAATGATGATGTATTGTTATCAACATCATAAACAGCTTGCAAAATTACTTCTCATTTTTTCATAGCAGGAAAAATTAAGGTATAGCTTTGAGCATTCTGTGTTCCTTTTGATCAGGGCAAATGTTGATGGCACTCCAGTGGTAGCAGGCAGCACAGTGCCACTGAACATAGAGACCACTGACTTGTCCAGCTGAACGTGTTTTTAGAACCAGATGATAAGGAGCACAACTTGCCTGGCTTGTCAGGAGGGATCAGCTTCGATAGATGGCTTCACTGGATTTTTTGACATGGGATGGTAGAAACAACTCTGCTACTGGGTTTTGATAAAGCACAAGTCCCTGCTTCAGGAAGGCAGCTGACACTCTGAGGGGAAGGGAAAGGTGTGCTTCTCTACTAGAAACACCCTTGCTGTCCCAGTTAGTTAGGAGGAGGACAGAGAAAACTGCATTGCAGCTGAAAGACAACAGTGTAATATGAATTTTGCTGCATAACATATGGTAAACATCTGGACAGTAAGACAAATGCTTCTGTTAGTGTAGCAGCATATCTCTGTTATTTTAGATGAGAACAGGAAAAATGTTGCTTTCCCCAGTGAAATCATAGCTTTGAGTGCACACTGTTAGCATCATTCGGGGGTCTGTGTGGATTTATAATCATGTTTTTGTTTGTTTCGGATCATGAGTAGAAATTCATTGCTACTTGAGCATTTGTCTTCCCTCCACATTGTACTTGCATTAGATAGCTTATTTTCTCCAAATTGTTTTCCTGATAGAGGATTGAGTCTCAGATCTGATAAGGACTTGTGCTTTTGAAGCATGTATGAGGATGTTTCTGCCTGAGGAGCAAGCAACTTATAGCTGTAAGAAATAGTTACTGAATGGGAAGTTGCACTGGTTTGGTTTAATTTTCTTGTGATGATTACATTTTGAGTCCTGATTAAATTATTTCAGAGCAGAATCATGGGTTATTGCTGTAATTGAGATTTTCCATGAGTTTTTACTCATTTGTCCTCTCTGATGAATTGTCACTAGATATGATGTGCTGATGGAATCCTGCTATTTTGCCATAAAGCTAGAATTATTTATTAATAGCATTACCATAACACCGAGGAATCTTATTGTGCTATATATTGTACAAAGAAAAAGGAAACAAGATACTTCATGCTTCAGATTGATGTCCAAAACTGTGCCTAAAAGCAAGAGTACAGGAAACAAAGAAGCAGTCCTTTGTGGGTTGTCTCCTGTGTGTAGGCAACTCACAGAAGCAGATTTGTCATAAATGTGGAATCACAGAATTGTTTAGGTTGTAAAAAGACTTCCAAAATCAAGTCCAACTATTAACCCAGCACTGCCAAATCCACCACTAAACAATGTCCCCAAGTGCCACATCCATGTTGTTTACATACCTCCAGGGATAGTGACTCAACCGTTTCCCTGGGCACCCTGTTCCAATGCTTGACATCCCTTTCTGTGAAGAAATATTTGCTAATACCCAGTCTAAGGCTTCCCTGGTGCAACTTGAGGCCATTTCCTCTCATTGCTTGTTACCTGTGAGCAGAGACCAACCCCCACCTCACTGCAACCTCCTTTCAAGTAGTTGTAGAGAGTGAGAAAATTCCCCCCAGCCTCCTTTTCTCCAAGGCTAAACAACCTCAGTTCCTTCAGCTGCTCCTCACAGGACTTGTTCTCTAGGTATAAAGGTCTATATGAAACAGAAACATAAAGATCTATAGAAAAATACAAGATCTATACACAGAGCTTCTGCTTCAGCCTCTGTAGTTCAAAAAACTGTATGTTTGAGTACTCTTTTCAGACGACCAAAGTCCACCCTTCATTCCTGTCTTTCTAGTTAGCCTCCAGTTTCTGTTGTGTCTTTTGTCTTTTCGTTCCACCTTCTGTTCTCTTAGATGAGAGGAATGTTTTTTGCTAGCCCCAGTCATTTGCTGGTTATTCAGGCCTCTCAGCTGGACTTCAGCAATGAAATACGCCTGGGTAGGCAGCCTTTAAGAAAGCTGCAAGTATGTAGAGAACTACAGATTATTGTGGAAGCAGTAAACTTATTCTAGACTGTGTGTAATGGCCTCTGTGTAGAATTTCTAATAACGAAGTTGTATATGCTCAGATAGTGAGCAGCCTGGCTCCATTGCATTTGTAGTGCCATGGTCAGTTTTGGGCTGCAAAAAATGAGAATGAGACTCGAATGAGAAAGTGCCTATCATTCATACCATTTCTTTGATCTTCTCTAACATCAGAGCAGCAATATAAATGGTTACACTTTTTTCCTCTGGGGAAGTCTAAAGAACATATACATGACGTGCTAGTTGTGCTGCTCAGTGTATTACCTAATAATGTTACTTCAGTGGGGAACACAATATAGGAGCCCACGTGGAACAGAGTGGAATTTGTCTGGCCTAAGAATCAATCAATCCATCTTTAGGCTCTTTCTGGGTTTCCTAGCACAGTTTTCTTGGTTGGTCCATCTCACTGGAGGTTTTCCCATTGGTTCAGTCTCATCCCCGATGGAGTGCTTTTTGCCACCTTTGATTTACAAAACACTTGAAGTTTTGCTGTGGTAGCTTATGCTTTCTTATGATTACTGGTAGCCTGTTGATGCTACACTTGCTCCTCTTCAGCATTTTTGCAGGCTCACTTAAAATAGTCCTGAGACCAATCACCGTGACCAGGTCTGCGAATTCCAGGTCGAGAACACTGGATTTAGGAAAACTAGTCTCT